TATGGTTCATGGGGTCACAAAGAGTCGGACACGACTTAATGACTGAACAACAACAACAACCATGGACCAATAGAATTTTTCACTGCTGGTATTTAGAACAATTTTTTAACTTACCTTTCTCTCCTCGTTTTTTCTTAGTCCTATCAATGTGGTCTTTGAGCTGGATGCGAACCTGCCTTTCATTTGGCTGGTCTCGAATAAATGGGTGCTTCATCAGCTGTTCAGTGGTTGGCCTCTGACCGTGATTTTTTACCAGGCAGCTTTCAATGAAGGACTGGAATTTTTTTGACCTATCAAATCAGATAATCAGAGATAGATACACAGAAAAGGGTTAGGTTAATATTTATGAGCAGGGTTTTGCCAGCCCTAGAGAAAGTTAAAAGGATAGTCACTATGAGAAGACCACCTATTCTGTGAGTATGTTAGGTCAGCAGCTTGGGGAACTTCCCCCCAACCTTTTATAAAATTAGCTGGGAACTATGTGGGTCTCAGACATTTTTGGAAATCCTGCTGAAGAACCTTGGGTAAATGATTTCATTTCTTAACTCTTTGTGCTTTTCTTACTGCTGTGAGGAAGATTCATCAGGTTCAGTAGGTTTCTGTAATTATATAAAGGATCATGCTGTAACTCCAGTATAAGGAAAAGGAAGGGACTAGGAAGGCTAAATGAGCAAAGAATTCATAACTGGCTTGGATTTTAATTTGTGATGAGCGTAACTGGTCTCTGAAGGTCATATCTAGTTTATACATAATAAGTCAAATTTACCTCTTTCTTGTGTTCCTTTTCCTCCTCTTCCTATCATACAACCTAACAAGCTTCTTTAAAAGAAAGACAATCTTCTCTCTTTCTGCCCTCATGTGCCTCAGGACCCTTCACTGTAACATTACACCCATTTCTCCATTCCCATGATTTCTTGTTCCAGTCAGGAACACAAAATGCCTCCAGTAGCCAGCTATAGAAAAGATAAGCTGTGGAAAGAAAATGATTCACTAGCCTGAAGTGCCTTTTGAGGCTACTTTTTTTTCATTATGTTTATAAATAACTCAAGGCAGCAAACATACTAATATTCCTTCCTCCTCCTATTTTCCCCACAACAACAATCCTG